GTAGTAGCTGTAGTACCTGTAGTAGGTGTAGTACCTGTAGTAGCTGTAGTACCTGTAGTAGGTGTAGTACCTGTAGTAGCTGTAGTACGTGTAGTATCTCTAGTAGCTGTAGTAGGTGTAGTAGTAGGTGAGAAGTGATCTATTTGGTATCGACCTTGTTCAATCAGAAGTTTGTGATTACTTATTTTAAACTTGACCAAAATGTTGTCATTCATCATAATGTCTTAGCTGGTAGAGATAATCAGTTGTAGAATATTCATCTTTAAAAGTTTTATAAAATTCCATTTGTGGTATATCGTTATACTACGCATTAAAAATGTTTTTACAAGCTTAATTACATCAATTCAGTCCAGTGAATGCCTTTAGTTGTAAAAAATGTCCAAGTTTGAAAAGACAATGGTGTCATCGGAAAACTGTTATAAGCCACCTTAAATAGACAATGATAACTAATATAAAAGAGAAGGCCCTTCAGGCGTTTTCTAGTATTCGGAAGCAGACACGACAGTTCTTAACAAACTTAATCCTGATACCGCATCCCAAATTCTTGACACAATGATATTCACTGGATATTCCCCATCTTAAGTTACAACAGCGAGGATGTGGGGGATGTGCACCGAGCAAGATTTTAAAAAAATTGGATAGTTCCCCGATAGAACAAAATTCACCTAAAATTCTTTAAACGTTATTTACAAGTAAAGAATAAGGCCTCTAACATAGCTTGCAGAGCTAAACTTGGTAGATTGCCGCTGCTTATCCCGAGAAATCAAAACATTATGAACTATTTTGTTTATCGAACCACCAACGATAAGGACTCTATAATCAAACAGTCTTTCCTTATGTCAAAGAATCTACATTCTATGAATAATTTCGGATATTATTGCAAATTCATAAACATGTTTGAACAATACAATCTACCAGTTTAGATACAGAATCTTTAGATAAAGATAAAATTGGACGATATACCACAGAAATGAGAGAGAAATATCCGCTATCTTTTTTGCGACACAGTCTTGAAAATTAAAAAATTAAAAATTAAAATGGAATTTTATAAAACTTTTAAAGATGAATATTCTACAACTGATTATCTCTACCAGCTAAGACATTATGATGAATGACAACATTTTGGTCAAGTTTAAAATAAGTAATCACAAACTTCTGATTGAACAAGGTCGATACCAAATAGATCACTTCTCACCTACTACTACACCTACTACAGCTACTAGAGATACTACACGTACTACAGATACTACAGCTACTACACCTGCTACAGGTACTACACCTGCTACACGTACTACAGATACTACAGCTACTACAGGTACTACACCTACTACAGCTACTACACCTACTACAGCTACTACAGGTACTACAGCGACTAGGCTACTACAGGTACTACACCTACTACAGCTACTACAGGTACTACAGCTACTACACCTACTACAGCTACTACAGCTACTACAGCTACTACCGGTACTACAGCTACTACAACTACTACAGCTACTACAGCTACTACAGCTACTACAGCTACTACAGCTACTACAGCTACTACAGCTACTACAGGTACTACAGCTACTACATCTACTACGGTTACTACAGCTACTACAGGTACCACAGGTACTACAGGTACTACAGGTACTACAGCTACTACAGCTACTACACCTACTACAGCTACTACAGCTACTACAGCTACTACACCTACTACAGCTACTACAGGTACTTCACCTACTACAGGTACTACACCTACTGCAGGTACTACAAGTACTACAGGTACTACAGGTACTACAGGTACTACAGCTACTACAGCTACTACAGCTACTACACCTACTACAGGTACTACAGCTACTACACCTACTACAGCTACTACAGGTACTACACCTACTACAGGTACTACACCTACTACAGGTACTACAACTACTACAGGTACTACACCTACTACAGGTACTACAGCTACTACAGCTACTACAGGTACTACAGGTACTACAGCTACTACAGGTACTACAGCTACTACAGGTACTACAGCTACTACAGCTACTACAGGTACTACACCTACTACAGGTACTACAGGTACTACATCTACTACAGCTACTACAGCTACTACAGGTACTACAGCTACTACAGCTACTACAGCTACTACAGGTACTACAGCTACTACAGGTACTACGACTACTACAGCTACTACAGGTACTACAGGTACTACAGCTACTACAGCTACTACACCTACTACAGCTACTACAGCTACTACAGGTACTACACCTACTACAGGTACTACAGCTACTACAGGTACTACAGCTACTACAGCTACTACAGCTACTACAGGTACTACAGCTACTACAGCTACTACAGCTACTACAGGTACTACAGCTACTACAGCTACTACAGCTACTACACCTACTACAGGTACTACAGCTACTACAGGTACTACAGGTACTACAGCTACTACAGCTACTACAGCTACTACAGGTACTACAGCTACTACAGCTACTACACCTACTACAGGTACTAC